ATTCTCCACCTCTCCTATATCTCTCCCCCCACCTGCAGAGTGAGCTCCTGTAGTGAGGAGACCACCTGCAAAGATATAACAACCTTCCCACCAGTTAGAGAGCCCCTAGTAGGGCCGATGCACCAGAGGTCCCCTGCACTGGGGCTGAGCCCCCCTGCACCCACCCGCCCACTGCTCTGGCAACACAACAGCCAGGACCCAAGCCCCCAGACCCCAGCACCCCAGACCGGGGGCGGAGCACCCCCAGACCCCCAAGCCTCCACGCCCGTCCCGGACCCTCCCAGGGGCAGCCAGGCTACCAGGCCAGTAACCAACGTCCGCCAGCACAGACCCTCCCCCATCTCCGCTGTACGCAGCCAGTTGTCGAGTGACGAGTTGTCATTTCTGTTAAACTCATTTGAAATCCACCTGAATGCTGCACATACAGTTGGTCCATTGTAATTTAAAGTTTCCACAGACTTATAGGCACACGGTGTCCACACATAGCCTCTTCCTCACCATCTGATGACAAAATTTATGTTATGTGGCCAAGCAAACTGAAAGACTCTTTAAAGACTGAAAGACTTTACTCTCTCGACTAAACACGGTCCTTTCTGACTCCAAAAATGTATTTGGCAGCAGCCTAAGCTTTAATGTTGAGCTTTCAAAAGCTAAAGTCCAGAACAGCAGGAGACTTCCCAGTGCCTTTGTGCATTACTTATATGGAGACAATGGCTACTGAAAAAAATAGATACAAATTAACTCTCCATTTTTAAGTTAAAAATTTAATCTGTCCAAAATCTTTTAAACGAAGTCTTTCCTAACTTTGCTAATTGACAATGGTATAATGAGCTAAGATGGCAAGTATTATAAATAGCAGACTATACCTGATTTCTTTATTATGCAAAATTAGTCATAGTATGAAACAGAAGGTAGTATGGCAAAATGTAGTTCTTTGTGCCACTGACAATAAGCCACGGGCCAAATTTATCTAAAGAAAACTTCAGCATGTGGCCACAGCTATACAGTAGTTATATGTCTGCAAAGTAACTATCAGGTTATTGAATGGATATACTCAAAATTAAATTGCCATGAAAAAAGCTTATGCAAGACCATTCTGGACAATAACGCATGTCACATATCAAGAAAAAGGCCTTTCGTCTGCAGAAGATGCAGAAGCAAAAGTGAAGAAGGTTTTTGGAGTTTGGCACCCATATAGCAAATCACCATGACAAGGGTGTGTGAGGGGCAGAAGGCAGAGGCTGAAGGCGGCGTTTAGTCTGTCAGGTCAAAAGTTAAGGAGCAAATAGCATCTCCAAAGGGTAGCTTTCCACTTTTGGAAAAAGGTGGTGTCAAGAAACACTGAGATATATTCACAGGAGGATATCTTTTCAACATGGGTTAGAGTAATCTGAAGGGACAGCATGCCTGAGTCAACATGGACATGTGACCAGTCAAACTGAAAAGAAACACTGAAAGTCAAAACAGATTATCAAGTCAGATAAAAGGATTATACTTTTCGTAACAGTTAAAGGAACTCTCAGAGCCGCCGCGTTTGTCTGAGTTCTCCTTATGAAACGAATCGCCTGCTGCTCTCATTACGCCTGACTTGGGCAGCACGTTTGCCATTTTGTAACATAATAAACACTTCTTGCCCCCTCCTCTTTTCCCTTGTCACTTTTTTTCCACTGTGTCTGCCAACACCAAAATCCAGCTGACCAGTACGTGGTGTACAGTAGGATCAGGTGTCGACTGGCTGAATGCAGCCGCGGCTACAGATCGCTGTGGCTGAGAGCGCCGCGGTGTCGTCTTCCTCCCATCAAGGGTGCTGCCAACATTAACACCATGTATGACAAAACAACATAGACTTGGTGAAAAGGACTTTGTTTAGTCACTTTTCATCACATCATTAATATGTAGCAAGCAGCAGCTCAGTGGACAGTGCCTTAAATAAAGTGCTGTTTCTTGCACTGAAACCACCAACTAGACAGTTTTGTTCTTATAGCACAACAACATTGAATCTACTTAAATGTCTGACATACTTTTTTTAAATACACAGCTCTGAGAGGCTCGATTTAGACACAGTTATGCTTTGAAGTTAATGCTAACAGCAGCTTGCTAACTTATCAACAGTGTTGGCATGCTAGCATTCAGTCCTGGAGGTCCCCGCCGTGCTGTTCTAAAAATGCAACAAGGGCAACCTGGCAGAGTCAGCGAGGAGGCCGCCACGTACTGGTACAACAAGAACTAATGTGTAATTCTTAATTTTACTGCATCAAATTTGAGGTTTTGAACCTTTGAGTCATAACACTGTTATTTGTTCTAATTTCCATTTCAGTGAGGGAGGAAAGCATTTTGCTTACATTTTTTAAATCTCGTTCGGGCCTCTCTTTCTCAAGTGTCTCTTTAATGGGCCTCAATGCTTATGGTTTCACAGCTACTGCATGACTTTTGGTTGCTATTTTAAGGTGGAAATTTTCAATGTACATTGAAGGAAAGAGATCTCAACCATGCTAGCAATCTTAGTGTAACCTAAAAGCCATTTTTGGCTGCGCCCTTATTCACATGGGATCATCAGTGTAGGTAGCTCTGCATATTTGACTTGGCAGATTTTTACACCGGATACCTTTCCTGATGGAGCCACTAAGAGATTCATGTCTCCTGCCAGGATCAAACCGGGGACCTTTTGCTGTTAAGTAAATGTGTAACCCACCACAGCATAGAGCTCTTACTCGTTCGTCTTACTTTAGCATATGATGAGGAATAAAGACAATTATTAATTAATTATAATTGACTGTCAATATCCTGATAGTCCATGTGACACAAACAAACCCATCATTTAAAAAATAGCTAAGAACTGTTAGAAACTAGTAGTTTCTAACAGTTCTTAGCTATGATAGCTAACAGTTCTTAGCTATCAAACTACCTTCCTAATTATTTTTGTGGTCATTTTTAAGCCTTTTCAATAAGTATAACTGTTTATTCATGGGCTGTCTTTAGGCTTAAAAGTTACTTTTGGCTGCTCCCTTATTCACAAGAAGTCACCACAGCACAGTAGCTCCACACTTTTGATGTGGCAAATTTTAACATCACATGCTCTTCTTAACACAATCCCATTTGCTTCTCGTGGAATAAACGGCAGATGTATTGCTTTTTAGGTGAACGTGAAAACTGCTAAATTATCTTTCAACCATTTTTTAGATAATTGTAGAAACTCTAATCTGTGCAGTTACCTATTTCCTAACATTTAAACAAAGTCAATTCAAGGTGATTTCCAAAAGATTCAATATCAAGTATTCGCTGCCTTTTAATTTTTTTTTTTTTTTTTGCACCATTTTACAAAAGGCCTGGCATTATTTTGCACGCACACAAACTCATACAGAAGAAGTACTTTTCATACCATTTGAACACTCAAGTGCTCGTAGCTGCTCACGTCATCACGTTTCACCGTGATTCCTTAAGAATTTTCTTTCGGTCATTTTGAAATCAAAATATAAATCCAACATGTATATAAAAAAACAACCAAAACAAAACTGCACAATTCTGAAAAATATGGAAGACAGGTGGAGAGATTTACAGTCACAGAATTGAGGTCCACAACATGTAATGTATCTGATGCCTAAGACAAGAAATATGTCTGCCTGCGAATTTGAATTTTCTGGCATTAATTTATACAAATCATACAAGACTCGATCTGGACGGCGCCACCGTGGTTCTAACGTTCAGTGCCTCTGTAACAGAACAATTTAATTTTACATGTCTTAAACAGCCTGTCACAACTAACCTTCCAGTTTAAACAGTGTGACGTACTGGACACTCTTTGACATACTGCATTAACACTAGCAACACTAACACTTGAATTCTGAGAGTGACTCATGCCTGTGATAAAAGGGCCTTGCTATATGTGATGTTTGGAATAAAGGTTCACTTAGTGTGGTTGATGGAGTGAGGTTTTATGAAAAGGCACTTTGTATTTTCACTTAGCAAGTCAATTTTCATTCTTACATAAAGCCCGAGAAGCCTGTCGTCACAGGTGTATGCAGTTTAACAGGAGAGCCGCCTGAATCAGCCTTTAAAAGGTGCTGAAAAGTGACAGGCGAAGTGATATGGCAGATTTTTTTCTTCAGCTTAAGGCAATTAGGTTTTTAACTGGTAGTATCAAAATAAAAACTTTGGTAAACTTTGGTCCAAGACCTTCCACATGAGCATGTTTAGTACTGCGGCTATAGTTTCCATAGAAAGATATAAGTAAGTATTTTATTGTGGAAAAGTGGGACTCTTTCACAGCTGCCTGTCATCTCCAATCTCGGCCTCTGAGTGGGCCAATCAAGCAATTCTGAAAACATGCTTTAAAAAAATTAGTGTGTTTCTGAGTATTTAACACTGCATGGCATCTACCATGATATCCATGTGTTATAGGCTGCATAGCAGGACAACATTCACAAATAGCACTGCAAAAAAGTCACCTTTACCAATGCACACGAAATATATATAAACAGTGTCATGAAATATCAATCTTTTACAGCATTCACACAGGTACTATATTTAATAGCACTTAAAGATAAAAAAATAATGGTCTCTTTAACTATGCTAGCACACCTCCGTATGCTAGAAGGAGGTTTAGTAGAGTGGAGTGAAAAACCTCACGTTTGGTGCTTTTGAACTCTTTTGTTCATTTTAAAACGGCAGCGTATCCATAAAGATTTTCTCCACTATCGGAGGAGGAGGCACCAGGTCCTCCAGTTTCAGGTAGAAGATGCGCTGCAGGCCTTGTGTGCACAGAGTCCTCAGTTCAGGCAGTTTGCCCAGAAGGCGAGACTGATAGTTGGGTTGCGTCCGGCTCAGTTCTGATCCATTTCCACTCACGTGTTCCCTTAGACAAGCGATGAGGTGACTTTGAAAGTCCTCGACCCGCTTGGGCTCTTTGAGGCCGTGACGATCTAAGGGCAAAAGAAGTTTCCATGAGAAACCCCAAATATAACGACAACCTTGAAATGCGATGAAATTCACTAAAAGCAGACAAAGCTTCTTTACCGGTGATGATGACGAGGGCTGCGAGGCAGGAAAACAAGTAGACGTCTAAGTTCAAGCGGCGAAGGCTGTGCGAGAAATCCATTATGGAGTCGATCCAGTCACCGAAACTGCGAGCGCACTGTAGTCGGTGGAGCACCACGCCATCGCAGAAGATCAGCTCATTCTTTTCTGGATCTGACCTGAATTATTTTAAACCATTACGTCAGTGAGAGCATTGACCAACGTGAAGGAATGTAGCAAAATATTAGTGAACCACACTTTTTTTTTTTAACAGCAGAAGAAAGAACACTGACCTGTAAGCCAGGCGGAGGATAAAGAGTTCAACAAAAGCAGATTCGAGGAGCAGCTCCTGGTCTTCTGTGCAGAAGTCCGTGAATCCTGGGATGGCTTGAGCCCATTTCCTTATCACATCCAAGGAACCAGTCAGTAAATCATAGAACTGCTGGATATCACCAGCATCCTCCTTCTCTTTCGAGCTGTCTGCTGTCTCCTGGTACTGAGGAGGGAAAAAAAGGGTTAGTTAGCTAAAGAGATTTTCAGAGGGCTATTTAGTGCTGTTGGTTTGACTCTACATTGTCACCAGTGTAAATTCAGATGAAGAAGACATGGGTTAGCTACAAGTTTTGAGTTACCTTGGAATAGTCAAGCTTTCCGATGGTTGGGCTTGAGTCTAGATGAGCCCTGACAAGCGAAGCTATGATGTTGACACTGGGGGTCGTGGATGAAGCCTCAACTGGGATCTTGGGCTTGGAGGGCAGGCGACCTCTGCGACCTTTAAGGCTGTCCGTACGAACAACTAAAAGAGGACAAGGCGAGGAACATGTTTATGACTCCTACATGACTCTTTCGGCATTTGAAAAACAAAAGCTGTATCAGCTGACGTTTCCCTTTTTCTTCAACTATCAATGTAAAGCTCTGGTTACATATGTCTCTGAGCTTCCTGGCTTTGCTGCTGCAAAACTGTCATTACTAACCCCGATTTGTGGCTGTCATGCATTAGCCACTGCGAACTTTGAAAGAGTATCACATTGCATTACCTTCTTTGACCATTCCCACTGCAAGACATTTCTGGAAACGACAGAACTGGCATCGGTTTCTCCTCCTCTTGTCTACTGGACAGTCTTTATTGGCAAGGCACACATACTTTGCATTTTTCTGGACAGTTCGCTGTCAAACACACAAAGAAAACACATTAATATGGACTCATAATGTGGCAAACATATACAACTGCAAGTGACTGAAATGCACAAGTCTTATTTTTGTTTATAGCATCAATTTCTGATCACCAGCAACCCTGACTTGGATGAGTGATTAAGAAAACAGATTAATGGATTTCTGCTCAATCAACTGTGAGCCTCTCTTAAACAAAGATACAGTGATAACTGGTACATTACTGCTCAGTATAAGTGCTAAAAATATTTTTAAAACAATGTAATAATTTTATTATTTGCCAATACTGAAGCTGTGCACTTGTGTCTTACGTTAGCACACACAAACTCACTTTATAAATATATTTCTGAAGAATTATCGCCGTGATTGCACAGTTTAAAAAATATAACATGACTGCTCTCTGGTGGATGTGGTTTGCTCACTTTGTCAGTGAATCTAAATCATCTTAAATATATGAAACACATGTGCACATATGCATAATTACTGCAGTTTTTTTGTTACTTGTTGCATACATGACACACACACTGAGATATCAGCTATGACTGCAGGTTTATTCTCCTTGATGACTGCAGCATCATGTACTCAGTCCAACAAATCTGTAATCTTAAAGCTGCTAAATATCTTCTTTTCTTTTTTTTACCTTGAAAAAACCTTTGCATCCCTCACAGGTGCGGACTCCATAGTGCTGGCAGGAAGCGTTATCACCACAAACTGCACAGCGACTCTCGTTGGATCCTGGGTTTTGCGTTTTAGGAGACATCATGGCACCCTCCGCTGTCTTGGGGCTTTCTAGAAGTCTATGCTCCAGAGAAACTGGGGGGCAGTGAAGTGGGGAAACATGCTGCTGAGGAGACAGGAAGAAGTGGTCTTCCTGGCTTGGCTGAGCATCCTGGTGCTGCTGCCCCATGGGGGAGTGTTGTTCTGGTGCAGAGCTGAAGGTGAAAAAGGAAAGCTGCTGAGCTATGGCAGCCTTGTCAGCCACAGAGGTCAGGGGGGCTGAGGGGTAGGGGCTGAAAGGGGAATCCCAGACAGGTGCAGACTCTGTCTGAAAGCTTGGTGTTGGAGGAGAAGCAGTGGCATAGACTGGGCTGCCATAGTAGTCAGAGCTGCATGACGACAGCGTTTCGTCAAGGCAGTTGAGTGCAAAGGATCCTGGGTAGCAGCCATACACCTGGAGATCATCCAGCTTGAAGGCCTGGCTGTGCATCTGAGAGCTGGTGCTTTCAGCTACTCCTGTGTGGCTGAATGAAACCGTAGAGGCAGGAGGAGAGGTGGTAATCTTACAGGAATATGCATCAAACTCCCCGACATAGCCATTTCCAACCAAAGTGTTGATGCTGGGCAATGAAGATGTGGACAGCTGGTCCTTTTGGCCACTGAAGTCCATCACCAGTGTAGCACTGAGGTCAGGATTCAAGAACTCAGAGCTGAAGTAGTTGTCATGGGGCAGGGATGCATACTGGGTTTGTACACAGGGCATTGCTAGGAAAGAGAAAACCAACATTTAAAACAACTAAAATAAATCCTTAAAGATAAATACTGATTCATTTCTGGGTAACAAACACGACTTTATTAAATTCTCTATCTGAACACTTCATCTTTGTGAGGTAGATTTAAAGCAACACAGTCTAAGTCAGATATTCCCATCTCAAATTAGTGCAGTAAATATGACTTTGTGATCATTTTTCGAAATAAAAACAAGTGAGTTAAATCACTCGAGACAAATGGCCCCAGTAATGAGCTGACTCTTTAAACATGTGTTAGAAACTAGATATTGCTATTGGATATATAATGGTCAGCATTTCTTAATGCTTCCTCTATAACAATCTAAACAGAGGGCAACATTAACACCTGAAATGTCCATCTCATTTCCCCAACATGCCTCTAACTTTATCAAGGGGCCTATTTGTCCCCTTGAAAAAAATGCAGAGGGTGGTCCAGCGGAGCAGTCAGGTATTGTCAGATATTGTGTTACTGGCTGTTAACGCTCTAAAAACCTCCTTCAGTAGAGGGCAACCCCTCTTTCACAACGCCTGTACTGGGGTGTGTTGCAGATTGTATGTCGGGGTGGGCTGACTGCCAGCTGAAATGGGAATAGTGGCAAAGTCTGTTTATGTGCATGGGTGGATGGGCGTGTATCTACAAGTGTCCTTACTTCTTCATTTTATAGCTTTTTATTTTTTTTCTCAATACAGAAGCTGAAGCATGTTCTTTGAAAGTTGAACTTAAATTTGCACAGCTATATTTGAATCGTGTGGAAACAAAACTGCCGAAGGGCCCAAATAGTTTTCAGCATGTAAATGCAAACAATTTTATGAATCTTCTCATTTCCCAACAGTGTTATAGAGCATGAAAGCCATTCACACAAGCACATACTGACAACAGAGGACAAAATTTGAACAAATGGAAATAGTAGAATCACAGCAGTCATATTAGTACTTGCAGATACCGTAAAATGTCCACGTTAATATCAAAATACACTCCCATAATTCACTTCATCATATTATAAGAATTAGAAAAATATCAGTCTGCACTGTTTAAGTTTATTATGGCTAAATATAACACTCATATCCCTTCTTTTATACCAGTGAGGGTCTAGCCAAATCAAGTGGACACTTAAAATCATGACCTCCGGCAGGTAGTTGAACTAGAGCAAATATGACACCATTAAAAAATTAGTTTTTATATTAGTAAGTAAACTGGTGCAAACCTCAAGCTACTGATAACCATTTTGCCTTATGAGCTTAAGCTATGACAGAGATACTTATTTAGAAGTAAAGATGCAAACATGCGCATCTAACAGCAGCAGTAATAAATAAAAAACAATAACAACTCACTAAAAGTCCACTTTTTACTCACCTGGTTTATGCAAATATCCCGAATTTGACGTTTTTCATTTATTCCAAATTAGAGAAAAAAAGATAAATGTCACCTCGGTTAGCTTCTGTCAGCACACACACTCATTCAGGCACATTCACACACAACACACTCCGGGTCAGACCGAGGCAGACGGGCTCCACTCCGCTACACTCTTGTTTTATTTTGGGCTGCATCGACAAAAAGGCGTGCCTGTGCCCAAACATGGTTTTGGGGCGGTGGAACGTTCCGGGTCGGCAGCCAATCAGCTCTGGGCTCGACGCAGACGTTCTTCCGTGTGACGCACGCACGGGATTCCATTGACGCAAGATCCGAGGGAGCGTACCTGCTAAAAATACACCGCAACGAAAGCGGCGTTCACGTGGGGCTATTACTGGATGAAAAATTCTAAAAATAACCGCAATTTGGAGGCGCAGACGTTTTTTGGCTGGAAATGTAGATATTATACAAGTTTACATCAGCGGGGTGTGTTATCAGGTATCAGACCGGGAAACACCTGCATATTTTTTTCAATTTTTCAGAAAATAGAAAGTCTCTACTGTTTCGCAACTAAACGCTTTGGGGGGGAAATCATCACAAGCACTTTTAAACGTTTTAACTGGAAATATACTTTTTACTTGTTATGTTTTTATATTTACTTCATACTTTTACTCGCATTTTTAATTGCTGAAATTATTCAAGAGCGTGGTCCATTACAATTTTTAATTACAAATGCAAAATTAATAATAATTATTAATAAGACTGAGTGGCAGCTGGGTGAAGAAGGATAGGTGAGGCCAATCAGGGATGAGGATACAAAGGAAAAGTAAATATAAAAAACATGAGACAATGACTCTAACATATTCAAATGTTGCGTACAAGAACATTGGGGGCAAGCTAGGAAAAATAATACAAGCAAACGTACTAAAATAAATAACTGGAATACAAATGGGAATACACTGAAACAAAGTGCTAAAGGCTCGAAATATAAAGAAGGAAGTAAAAAGTATTAGGAACCAAACAGAACATCAAATAGCAAGACTTCAGTCAGAAGACTCAAAACTCCATGTCCAAACCCGGGACTATGAAACACATTTCCAAATATGTCAGTGACTTCTGAAGCATATTGACTGTTAACTCTGTAAACTTCTTTGGAGCTGTCAGTTAACTCTACAGATATGTAATATTCAAACAGAAATTTGTTTAGATTTGTTTTTGTAATTGATGTTTCTGAGATCAAAAATGACCTTTAAAATGACCTTTCGTCTGTGCTTATTAAGCACTTCTGTTACAAGAATATAAATACCCCGAGTCCTGTATAAACTATTGTCAAAACCAACAATTTAAACTTACATTTACTTTGTAAATTTGTCAGCATTAGTTTAAACATCACTTAATACCCGCCCACTGCAAACCAGCACGCTCTTGAACACTTGAACCCTCTCTGGGGATACTTGGGCATGATCCAGCTTGTGTAAAAAACTGAGGGGGCTTGTTCAAGCAACTGAGACCGGAGACCTGACGCTGACGCAGCTGCAGATGCTGCCTGCAGTTACCAGAGATAATTACGGGGGTTTGTGTTTTATCTTTCACGGTGGAAAACACACACGCGAATAAAAAGGGAGCGTATCACATCCAGTGTTAGTTTTCTGAATCCTTTACGTAGCATAATAGGTTTCATTAAAAATGAACTTTTTTTTTCTCGTTTGCCAGATTTTGTGAAAATAAATACGATAAATAGTGACTGCTGCTGTGCTTTCGATGAATTTTTGTTGAACTGTTAACGCGAGCCAGCAGCGTTAAATCATCTCTGTGTATTCAAATAAAGTCAAAGAGGATTTCATATCTAAATATAAGATTACTGCTCGTATCATTTGTAATTGCGAACATGTTTTTAAAATGGCTTAATGGCAAAAAAAATTTTATTTAATCTTTCATACCCGCTATCTTCCTCTCTGGTAGCGCCTGACGCTTCCTGCCCAAACATGCCAAACAGGTCACACCAAACTTCCGCTGTTGCCCTTTTTTTTTTCTCCACCAAACCTACGTAGCCTACCTTGGGATTAGTCCTCGTGCTCTTCCTCCCACGCCAACGCAAAATCTGCCCCACTCCAGGCTGACCTGTTTTAGTACAAGGGAAATGCTCCATAGTCATGCCTATTAGGTAAATAAATGTGTGAATTAATATAACAATAACAGGTAGAAGATTACATATCTCAATTAACCTCCCATTTACAATAAGAATAAAGAGATTTTTCTTTTGTATCTTCAGAAAATTATTGCAAGACCTTCATGGGGAGACATTATAGTGTAGACACACATCCAAAGGACAGAAAACAAAAAGTATTTGTTGAATAGACTTAAACAACCACACACATATGTCTCATCAGCCAATCAGATGGCAGCAACTCAGTGCATTTAGACATGATCAAGACATACTGCTCAAGTTCATACTGAGAACTGAGCAACTTTTAATATTGTTGGTGCCAGTCTGAATATTTTAGAAACTGCTGCTTACTGGAATTTTCCCACACAATCATCTGGTGAGTAAAATGAGTATCCAGTGAGCAGTAGTCCTCTGGGTTAAAAAGCCTTGTTGATGTCAGAGGTCAAAGGAGAGTGGCCAGTGGCTTGGAACACTTTGGACCTCTTAGTACCAACTGAACATCGTTTAAACACCACAGCCTACCTGAGTTTTGTTGCTAATCCATTTACAACCACAATGTATTCATCTTTCACAGTGAACATCCCTCATCACAACGTTCAAATCATCACAAACTGGTTTCCCAAACATGACAATGAGTTCACTCATGTGGTCTCAGCAGTCACCAGATTTAAATTCAGTAGAGCACCTTAGAGACATGGTGTAACGGGAAACTCATGTCATGGATGTGCAGCTGATAAATCTGCAGCAACTGTGATGCTATCATGTCAGCATGGACCGAATTCTCTGAGAAATATTTCCAGCAACTTGTTGAATCAGTTCCAAGAAGAATTTAGGCATTTTTGAAAGAAAGTGTTTGCAGCCCAGTACAAGCACATTACAAGTGTAAACAAGTACACTCAATATCCAACACAAGACTACTGAAAGTTGAAAACACATTGCCGAAACAATATCTTAGCTTTAAACTTTATTTATTCAATCACAAAGTAGAATACTTTGGCTAGCTTCCACCCAATGTTAGCATGACCTCATCAGTCATGTCTGTGTGTTTGAGAAGCTTTTTCAGTGCAAAGGAGTCTAATAAAAGTGTTGACACAAAGAATTTAATTGACAAAGTGAGGTTACAGGACAAAATTGGTAAAGAAGCTAACATTAAATATGATTTCAGGTATGTACACCGGGCGTATTAGACACAGTGGAATGCTGCTGCCATTAAACTCGTTAAATATGGGAGGGCTGTATTGAATGCCTCTCTCCTTATCACTTTCATAACTCAAAAAAACCCATAAAACACATATTCAGTTACATTCAATCAAGAGTTCCTTGCATTATTCTATCAACAGTTCTTTAAGAAACAGTCAAAACATTCACATGAATATCTTCTTATCTATCTTACTGTCTCTCAACTGGATGAACACTGGCAATGAAATACATGTCAACACACAGGACAGTTTATTTGGTGAACTGCTTTTTGTCACAAGCTGCACAAGGAAGTACAGATACTATTGTAAATATGATTTAGCACAACAAAACATCACAACATAAAATACAGCTAGTACATGCATGTTCCTTGTGCTTATACTGTAGGTACACAATGTGCTCTGATCCTTTATCTATAGAAACATAATGCATTGCATGAAAATTGGCACACAAAAGCAGCAGTCAAACCTGTCAAGTTTGCACTTTTGATATTGGTTTGTCAGTGTGGCATCTCTCTATGAAAGCAGTATCTTAAAATGATGTCAGGAACTGGGGGCAAAGGAAGTAAACAATGAAAACACACGGTTACACACTCAATCCAACGCTGGTGAGCTGCAGTGATCCTCAGAGGGCCAGAGGACGTAGGAGCCACGACTCTATTTGAGGTGAAAGAAGCTGGATGGTTTGGTAGGTGGAGCCATTAGCATGCTAGCTTGGTTCTTGTGAGTTATGTGGATCTAAAATTCATAAAAGATGCAATTTAGGTTAGTTTAGGTTAGCCACAGAGATCCTTCCTTGTTGCTGGGTAACTATTCATTTGCCCAGCTGTCAGTAGATACTATGTGGCTCATATCAAGTTATTTTTTAATTTGTCTTTGGATATGAACGCACAGAAACCATTCCCATTGCTCTTTAACTGTCTACATTTTAGCAGAAGTCACTAAACCAATCATTAATACTCTCATTACAGACTTATCCAGCTGTGCTAGGACACCCCTGTCCCCAAGGGGACACAGTCTTTTTTGTGAACAGGGCAAATTACACTTCAAATATTGGCCCACAAAATCCAAAACATGTCTCCAAAAAGGAAACAGTTTGGAACATCCCCATAATACCTGCACATGATTGCCTCTTTCTGTCTTACCCACATAACAATTGTGAGGTGGTCTGAAAGTAGCGCTGCCACTCAGTTCTAAGCGAGAGCCAATGATCTTGTGTTAATGTCTGCTGGTCAGTAAAGATGGACACTTGGACTTGACCTCCATATTGCTTCAAGTATCTCTTTTAAGTTATATTAATCACAATCAATTCTGGTTATACTTGCTGTAGAAGTAACATGATTCAATTTCTGATCAAAAGACATTTATAAATGTTTTAGATTGCATTATGTTGCCGTTGTCTCTTCTCTTCCCCCTCATCATATTATTTAATAATGCTTACAGTACAAGGAGGCTGCATCCAGGGCTCACCATCGATCTGCATTGGAAATGCTTTAGATGTCCTGCACATAGGGAACAATAACAGCAATGTATAATTATACTGCACTACATATACACACTGTATGGTACTGAAAAATATTCCTGTTGTTTAGTAGGTAAAGTTCACAACCTAATGGTAATCTGGGAGGTCTGTGCCAGTCTGTGCCCAGCGCTCTTCAGCCCAGTATAGATTTGTCCCATCTCTATAACCCCTTCAAGCCCGACCACCTCCAATCGTTTATC